CTGAACATACCAAAGAACCGACTTGCTCATAGGCTCTCATTACTTTTGGATCTTCCTCGTATTCGTATCCCAATTGCAGAATCCGTGGCCCGTTGATCGACCAAAATGCCCTTCGACCTGCCTCCTGTAACATCAAAAGATGGTTTCACATATCAGAGGACCTTTTGTAGGTTTTGGGCTTTGTGGGTTCTTAATCAGAATTCAGAAACAAAAAGAAGGAGATATAGAGAATTGTTGTACCTCTAAGATGATCAAATATATAGCTTCGAGTGTCTGAACGCGAATGTCGGTATCAGTAACTGGTTCTCGCTCAATGGAAAGCGCACTTCCAAGCTCGGGTGGCATTTTTGAGATATCTTGCTCACTGTATATCTAAGGAAAGTAAAAACCCAATAGTCAAAAAACTGTTGTCCTGTAAAAGAAGGGAACTTTTTTCTTTTTGCAACGAAGTAGCAGCTATAAACCAAAATCAACAAACCTTATTGCCTGCAACTGGTAGGAGCAGAGCGGGCCAGAGAAACTCTGATATCAAGAGTATATTCTGGAGCTGGTTCTTGGCTTCAAACGAGCAATTACGAATAGTCCCAGCAACCTGAAAGCCGATAAGCATAATCCTCCATGTTGAATTATTCTTTAGAGTAGATTAATCAACAGGTCTATTAAAGGAGTAATAAGCCAAACTCTTTCGAACGTACCCCTTTCTTACGCAATGGATTTGTTGAATCAAACTGCCTAATAATCTGTTTTAGTAGTCCCCTCTTTGGCTCCAGCAACATTTTTCTCCCATCTTCTGTTTTCGATATGTTGACAAGGATTGAGCCAACATGCTCAAACTGATCATCTGGTGCATAAATAAGAAATATACCCACCAAATTATTCATACATTTATGGTTTAGCAAAGGAATACAATTATGCACTAAACATCAACAGTAAGCAACTAAACATAACCATTCCTTAAGAGTATTGGAAACTACTTCAATGATCGAAATGCATATATAAAGGAGTCATAGTTATAAGTGGACAGCTGATAAATTGCAAACTATTGAAGTTTGAGACGTTTGAGTCTTACCGGTGATTAGATATATGAAACAAAAACATGAAATTGAAAGAGGAAATTCCAGATAATTGTATACAGAAATAAAGATATACTTCGACAAATTACATGACCAATTGAAGACTAAAGAGCTAAGAGCATACCAGCAGTTTCTCCAGAAGACCTGCAAAATGACCTAACAAGCTTCATGATATGTAGTCCATGCATCTTCTCATCCTCAACCTAACAAAAAGGCATAAAGTTTTACACGATTAGCTACCTCACCATTAGACTACAAGAAGACAATTCCCATTCTCTCTTACACAAATTCAACTTAACAATGCAAGAAATCTGATAATCATACAAAGATAAATGACCTGAAGCAAGGAAGAAACACCATCATCCAACTGAGTGAGATTCACTAGAAGCATAACAAGCAATCTGGTAATACAAGACTCTGGCTTAAACAACATCTCCATAGCCACTTTAATCAAACCCATTCGAATCATCTTCCCAGCCAATTCAGAGTTCTGTGAAAGATTTACAAGAGCCTGAGCAGCTGGCTCTGATACCTCCTGAAAAAATT